CTCATGTGAGTGTTGTGGTGCTGTGTTGACTGTGTTTCTCATGGTGAATGTGTGTGGTTGCTGGTGTTGTCTCATGGTGAGTGTGTGCGTTCTGACGTGTTATTTATGGTATGTGTGGGGCTTGGTGTTGTACTGGTGTTTATTCTCATGGTGAGTGTGTGGTGCTGGTGCTTGTTCTTGTTTAATGGTGAGTGTGTGGTGCTGGTGTTGTACTGGTGTTATTCTCATGGTGAGTGTGATGGTGCTGGTGCTTTCTGGTTTACATGGTGAGTGTGTGGTGCTGGTGTTGTACTGGTGTTATTCTCATGGTAAGTGTGTGGTGCTGGTGTGTACTGGTGTTATTCTCATGGTGATGTGTGGTGCAGGTGCTTGGTAATGTGTCTCATGTACGTGGTAGTGTGTGGTGCTGGTGTTGTACTGGTGTTGTTCTCATGGTGAGTGTGTGTGCTGGTGTTGTTCTCATGGTAGTGGGGGACGTGATGGTGCTGGTGTTGTACTTGTGTTAGAGTGTGTGGTGCTGGTGTTTTTCTGTGGTAATGTGTGGTGCTGTGTTGTACTGGTGTTGTTCTCATGTGAGTGTTGGTGCTGTGTTGTTCTCATGGTAAGTGTGTGGTGCTGTGTGTACTGGTGTGTTCTCATGGTAATGTGTGGGCTGGTGTATGTTGTTTCTCATGGTAGTGTGTGGTTGGTGTGTCTTGGTATGTGTGTTGTTTGTACTGGTGTTGTTCTCATGTGAGTGTTGGTGCTGGTGTTGTTTCATGGTAGTGTGTGGTGCTGGTGTTGTACTGGTGTTGTTCTCATGGAATGTGTGGTGCTGGTGTTGTTTACTGGTGGGGTTTATTCTCATGGTAGTGTGTGGTGCTGTGTGGTGTTGTTCTTGGTGAGTGTGGTCTGGTGGTCTAGGTAGGTGTGGTGCTGGTTGTTGTGTTGTTCTCATGGTGAATGTGTGGTGCTGGTGTTGTACTGGTGTTATTCTCATGGTGAGTGTTGGTGCTGGTGTTGTTCTCATGGTATGGTGGTGCTGGATGTCTCAGGTAAGTGTGTGGTGCGTATTCGGTGTGTTGGTAGCTGTGTGTGGTGTCATGGTGAGGTGTCTTTTCGTGGTGAGTGTGTGGTGCTGGTGTTGTACTGGTGTTGTTCTCGTGGTGAGTGTGTGGTGCTTGTGTTGTACTGGTGTTTTCTCTGGTGATGTGGTGCTTTGTTGACTGGTGTTGTTTCGTGGTGAGTGTGTGGTGCTTGTGTTGTACTGGTGTTGTTCTCTGGTGAATGTGTGGTGCTGTTGTTGTACTTGGTGTTTTACTCATGGTGAGTTGGTGTGCTGGTTTGTTTGTGTGAGTGTGTGGTGCTTGTGTTGTACTGGTGTTGTTCTCGTGGTGAGTGTGTGGTGCTTGTGTTGTACTGGTGTTGTTCTCGTGGTGAGTGTGTGGTGCTTGTGTTGTACTGGTGTTGTTCTCATGTTGTGTGATGTGTGTGTTGTACTGGTGTTGTTCTCATGGTGAGTGGTGTGGGTTGTCTGGTGTTGATTCTCTGGTGATGTGTGTGTGTTTTACTGGTGTTGTTCTCGTGGTGAGTGTGTGGTGCTGTGTTGTACTGGTGTTGTTCTCTGGTGATGTGTGGTGCTTGTGTTGTACTGGTGTTATTCTCGTGATGTGTGTGCTGTGTTGTGGTGTCTTTTGGTTTGTGTTTTCTCAGGTGGGTGAGTGCGGTGTTCATGTGCGGTGTTGGTAGCTGGTGTTGTTCTCATGGTGAGTGTGTGGTGATGGTGTTGTACTGGTGTTGTTCTCATGGTGATGTGTGGTGCTGGTGTTGTACTGGTGTTATTCTCCTGGTGAGTGTGTGGTGCTGGTGTTGTTCTTGTGGTGAGTGCGTGGTGCTGGTGTTGTACTGGTGTTGTTCTCATGGTAGTGTGTTGATGTGCTGGTGTTGTTCTCATGGTGAGTGTGTGGTGCTGGTGTTGTACTGGTGTTATTCCTGGTAGTTGTGCTGTGAGTGTGTGAGTGCTGGGTGTTTGTACTGGTGTTGTTCTCATGGTGAGTGGGGTGTGTGTGTCCTGGTGTTGTATCTGTGTTTATGGTATTCTGATGGTGAGTGTGTGGTGCTGGTGTTGTACTGTTATCTATGGTGAGTGTGTGTGCTGGTTGTTCTTGTATGTGGGTGCTGTGTTGTACTGGTGTATTGTGTGAGTGTGTGGTGCTGGTGTCGTACTGGTGTTATTCTGATGGTGAGTGTGTGGTGCTGGTGTCGTACTGGTGTTATTCTGATGGTGAGTGTGTGGTGCTGGTGTTGTTCTCTTGGTAAGTGTGTGGTGCTGGTGTTGTACTGGTGTTTTATACTGATGGTGAGTGTGTGGTGCTGGTGTTGTACTGGTGTTATTCTCATGGTGAGTGTGTGGTGCTGGTGTTGTTCTCATGGTAAGTGTGTGGTGCTGGTGTTGTACTGGTGTTATTCTTATGGTGAGTGTGTGATGCTGGTGTTGTTCTCATGGTAAGTGTGTGGTGCTGGTGTCGTACTGGTGTTATTCTCATGGTGAGTGTGTGGTGCTGCTATTGTGCTGGTGTTGTTCTCATGGTGAGTGTGTGGTGCTGGTGTTGTACTGGTGTTGTTCTCATGATGAGTGTGTGGTGCCGGTGTTGTACTGGTATTATTCTCATGATGAGTGTGTGGTGCTCCTGATCACTCAACGTCTATTTCTGTCATAGTTATGTTGCCAGTTACCATGTTACCTGTTTAGTGAGTGTGTTGTGCTGGTGTTGTACTTGTAGTGAGTGTGCTGTGCTGGTGTTGTACTTATAGTGAGTGTGTTGTGCTGGTGTTGTACTTATAGTGAGTGTGTTGTGCTGGTGTTGTACTTGTAGTGAGTGTGTTGTGCTGGTGTTGTACTTGTAGTGAGTGTGTGTGGTGCTGGTGTTGTACTTATAGTGAGTGTGTTGTGCTGGTGTTGTACTTGTAGTGAGTGTGTTGTGCTGGTGTTGTACTTGTAGTGAGTGTGTGGTGCTGGTGTTGTACTTATAGTGAGTGTGTTGTGCTGGTGTTGTACTTGTAGTGAGTGTGTGGTGCTGGTGTTGTACTTATAGTGAGTGTGTTGTGCTGGTGTTGTACTTGTAGTGAGTGTGTTGTGCTGGTGTTGTACTTGTAGTGAGTGTGTGTATTGCTGGTGTTGTACTTATAGTGAGTGTGTTGTGCTGGTGTTGTACTTGTAGTGAGTGTGTGGTGCTGGTGTTGTACTTGTAGTGAGTGTGTTGTGCTGGTGTTGTACTTGTAGTGAGTGTGTTGTGCTGGTGTTGTACTTATAGTGAGTGTGTTGTGCTGGTGTTGTACTTGTAGTGAGTGTGTGGTGCTGGTGTTGTACTTGTAGTGAGTGTGTGTATTGCTGGTGTTGTACTTATAGTGAGTGTGTTGTGCTGGTGTTGTACTTGTAGTGAGTGTGTGTTGCTGGTGTTGTACTTGTAGTGAGTGTGTTGTGCTGGTGTTGTACTTGTAGTGAGTGTGTGGTGCTGGTGTTGTACTTGTAGTGAGTGTGTGGTGCTGGTATTGTACTTGTAGTGAGTGTGTGGTGCTGGTGTTATTCTCATGGTTAGTGTGTGGTGCTTGTGTTGTACTGGTGTTGTTCTCATGGTTAGTGTGTTGTGCTTGTGTTGTACTGGTGTTGTTCTCATGGTGAGTGTGTGGTGCTGGTGTTGTACTGGTGTTGTTCTCATGGTGAGTGTGTGGTGCTGGTGTTGTACTGGTGTTGTTCTCATGGTTAGTGTGTTGTGCTTGTGTTGTACTGGTGTTGTTCTCTATGGTGAGTGTGTGGTGCTGGTGTTGTACTGGTGTTGTTCTCATGGTGAGTGTGTGGTGCTGGTGTTGTAATGGTATTGTTCTCATGGTGAGTGTGTGGTGCTGGTGTTGTTCTCATGGTGAGTGTGTGGTGCTTGTGTTGTACTGGTGTTGTTCTCATGGTGAGTGTGTGGTGCTGGTGTTGTACTGGTGTTGTTCTCATGGTGAGTGTGTGGTGCTTGTGTTGTACTGGTGTTGTTCTCATGGTGAGTGTTTGGTGCTGGTGTTGTACTGGTATTGTTCTCATGGTGAGTGTGTGGTGCTGGTGTTGTTCTCATGGTGAGTGTGTGGTGCTGGTGTTGTACTAGTGTTGTTCTCATGGTGAGTGTGTGGTGCTGGTGTTGTACTGGTGTTATTCTGATGGTGAGTGTGTGGTACTGCTATTGTGCTGGTGTTGTTCTCATAGTGAGTGTGTGATGCTGGTGTTGTACTGGTGTTATTCTCATAATGAGTGTGTTGTGCTGGTGTTGTACTGGTGTTATTCACATAGTCAGTGTGTGGTGCTGGTGTTGTACTGGTGTTGTTCTCATGGTGAGTGTGTGGTGCTGGTGTTGTACTGGTATTATTCTCATGATGAGTGTATGGTGCTGGTGTTGTACTGGTATTATTCTCATGATGAGTGTGTGGTGCTGGTGTTGTACTGGTATTATTCTCATGATGAGTGTATGGTGCTGGTGTTATACTGGTATTATTCTCATGATGAGTGTATGGTGCTGGTGTTGTACTGGTATTATTCTCATGATGAGTGTATGGTGCTGGTGTTGTACTGGTATTATTCTCATGATGAGTGTATGGTGCTGGTGTTGTACTGGTATTATTCTCATGATGAGTGTATGGTGCTGGTGTTGTACTGGTATTATTCTCATGATGAGTGTATGGTGCTGGTGTTGTACTGGTATTATTCTCATGATGAGTGTATGGTGCTGGTGTTGTACTGGTATTATTCTCATGATGAGTGTATGGTGCTGGTGTTGTACTGGTATTATTCTCATGATGAGTGTATGGTGCTGGTGTTGTACTGGTATTATTCTCATGATGAGTGTATGGTGCTGGTGTTGTACTGGTATTATTCTCATGATGAGTGTATGGTGCTGCTGCTCACTCAACGTCTATTTCTATTATAGTTATGTTACCAGTTCTTCCTAAGTACAATGTTTCACATTACCTATTTCCTTGCACAG